TCACCTCCAATTTATAACTTTGGAAATCGCACGAAAAACAACCTTTCAGTCACTTCAGCCGCTGACATCACGAGATTGACATCAGGATCAATGCGTCAAAGATTAATTCATTTGTTATCGATCTATTTTCGAGTTCGAGCAAAGTATTCACTCGACTGCTAAGCCCAAGGGCTACCCGAGTTCGAGAAAATTCTCACTCGGGGAATATAAAAAAGCCTAAAGGCTAACTCTATCTCAAGTTCGATCAAGTGCTTGCTCGACTACTAAGCCCAAGGGCTATCCGAGTCTGGGAAAATTCTCACTCGATGATTATCTACGAAGCCTAAAGGTAAACTTTATTTCAAAGTCGAGACCTTGCTCTCACTCAACTCGGATTCAAGAGTCCCGATTTCCCGAGCTCGCAATAAATCAATTTAAGCTTAGCTCGAGGATTAGCAAGAATCTTAAGAGGTATTATATTGATCGATTAAAAACTTAAGGGTTTATTATGTCCTGAATCTGGTATTTGGACTAGTCGCTAAAGTCATACAATCAGATTTTCCACAAGTAAAGACGGAATGAAATTCAACACGAGCCAACAGGGAGACAAAGGATCCTTTTATATTTACAAGAGATGGTTGCAAAATATAACTACAACATCCGCTAAGGGTACTTACACAAGAACAAAGAAGCAAAGAACAAAATCCAAGAGCCTAATATACTTTTAAGACCACGTCCTCGAGAGCGTCATCTTCGGGAACCTCCTTCCCGGGGACCCCATTTTGATCTTTGGAAACGTTTGTGTGCCCAAAGAGATTTAGCGCAGAAAGCCCTTGATAAATGTAACTATGTCTCCAGCAGCGAGGGTTGAGCATTCTGTTGAAATTTTGAGCCATAATCCGTTAAAAAAAGAGCAGCAAAAGAAAACGACCACAAGATGTAGCCTCACCTTCTATCACAAGAAAACCCAAAAAAGGTCATGAAATGCACGAGCAACGATCCAAGAATGTTCTTCCTTGGTACATTGTTCTGGTGTGGGATGCAAAAGTTAGTATATGATAGTGCAACCTCATTCCATGGAAAGCAAAAGGAATGAAGTGCCACACCAGGTTGAAGTTAAGAGAGATGAGCAGCAGTGTAAAGTTCGCGTATTTTCTGGTGCGAGAAGGATTCGACGCCCTTCTCTCATTGTCTCAAATCGAATATTTGAAAAGGGGAGTCATGGCATAACTGGTAAAGTTGCTGTCATGTGACCTTGTGATCGTAGGGTCGAACCATGGAAATAGCTGATTAAAGAAGGAAGCAAAGAAGGGAAAAGATCAAAAGTAGGTGAAGATGAAAAAAGTACAGTTCTTTGCTTAAAAGAGCAACCTCCTATTTATAGAAAGTTGGCGACAAATTCACGGCGCAAGTGGCCGACCAATGCTGGAGCACATTTAATATTTTGGGGAAGCGTGTTGACATGACATTTCCGATCACTTCAAGAGCCTACGTCAAGGTCATGACGTCATTATAAGAGGTTCGAGAAAATCGAGGTTCGAATCATTTCTTATCATCTTACTCCAAGAAACGCGGGGACTACCTATATACAGTCAAAATCATATGCCCCCGACTTAAAGGCTCGAGGGGATGTCCTGAGCCCGAGTCCGGGTAAGATCAAGTTCGAGCTCGAAGGACCAGGCCTGAGTTCAAAGGCGAAGTGCGATGCATACCGAGGTCGAGTATGTTCGACCCCGAAATAGTACCGTTGTGGATTTGTACTAGAACGAGTTAGATTCCTACCACGTCCCCAAAGGCATGACGCAAATCTCGGAATGTGATTTTATTATTCCGTACTAGGCGGTTAGACAACTATACCAAGAATATTCCTTACTGTAAATGGAAATATTCCTTATTTAGGGCTCCCCTATTATATAAAGGGGACCCCAATCATTTGTAAGACATCTTATCATCACTGAGAAAAGAATATACGCTTTGCTTTTTTGCCTACTGATCATCAGCATTGCCCTTTAGCTCCATTGTTCTTGCTTTATTTTTATTACTTAATTGTTCTTACTGCCCTAATCTACCCCGAGGTCACGGTTACTAAGTAACATTGGTTTGATTCATTTCTACCTTTCATTTCTACTTCGTATTTCTTGATTATTAATTGGTATTGGACTAAATCACATATCTTTAAAACCACTAATCAAATTTAATTGTTACTCGTATTTTCGAGGTAAACAAATATCATAATGGGCGTGGTGCACGAGTATTGGAAACAGACTATACAAGTGCACAAATGGTTTTTCTCAGGAATGCTATTTAGCGATTAGCCAACACTTATTTTGTCCTAAATTTTTAACTTCAAGACAATTCAGGATATTTTTACTCTGAAAAACTGAAATTCAGGACGCACTGGCTAATTTCTAAATAACAACTCTTTAAACTGGCTATCTGATGTCATTTCCACCGCTTACTTCGAGAAACTGGTAAAAATTATACGGGGCGACCAAACCATTTAACCTATACCCATTTTTTAAAAACTTTTAAATTGTACCCACCTTTTAAATAACTTCAGCCCCCTTTCTCCTCCTCCTCCTTCATTTTTTTTTCTTCTTCTTCTTTCTTTTGCTGTTGTTGGTGCTGCACTAGAATGTGTGGTGGTAACATTCGCTTGCTTGTTCATGTCGAGAATCAATAGCAGTGTGAACTTTTGCATCACAGAAAGGCATGTGTCATTGAAGGTTGGGACTTTAATAGTATTTTTATATAAAAATAAATTCTGAAAAGCAATCCATGTATAACAATTTGCTTGTGCCAAAGGATATAGCAGACATATGTTTCCAAATGTCGATCTGTCGAAGAGAATTCTTTGAAAGAATAGTTGTTTGTCTCTCAGAATACACACATTAAGAAGAAGAAAAACAAACACACAAACACTAGAAAGAAAAGAGAACTAAATAATTTCAGCTCTAGAGCTGAAGTTCGACAGTTACAAAACAAAAACTTCAGCTCTAGAGCTGAAGTTCGACAGTTACAAAACAAAAACTTCAGCTCTAGAGCAGAAGTTCGCCAGTGACAAAAACAAAAACTTCATCTCTAGAGCATAAGTTTGCCAGTTACAAAACAAAAACTTCGCCAGTTACAAAAACAAAAACTTCAGCTCTATGTTACAAAACAAAAACTTCAGCTCTAGAGCTGAACTTCAGGCCCGGCTACTAGAATGCCGAAGTTTTGCGTGATTGTCTTTGCTACTTCAGCCCTGTATGTTGAAGTTATGTGAAAAAATGGGTACGTTTGCAATTTTTTTTACAAAGCGGACATAAGTTAAAACGTGACACAAAAAGCGGGTATAGATGCAAATGCCCGAGAAACTGGTTCATGATTCTTGAATTTGTTTCTACTCATTGGAAGAAAAAATTTGTGCTAGTTAAATTTAATTGTCCAAAATTATCTATGAAAAGTTTTAAATTTTTTACAACAGAATGAAAAACTTCGAACATGTAAAGTTGATGAATTATTAATAGACGCAATGTTTAGGAAGTAAAGAATCTTGGTTTGCATTCTCCTCATGTAGTGGCAGAATAAAGAAAATTCATCCTCTTTCGGAGTAATTCTTAAAATGGCCAATCAGATTTTATCTATTGAATAGAGGCTTAATAGCCAATATCTATGTCTTCTACCCAAACTAACAAAAAGAGAAAAAGGAAAAAAAGAGAGGACTAAAAACCAAGAGAAACAATGACCAATGAGCTTCGTCCAATTTCAAATTATTCTAGCATTCCACTTTCTTCGACTTTTTCTTGTTCCTTTCGTCCGTATATTTTGTAGCAAGAGTAAAAGCTAACTAAATAATTCTAGTGGCCTCAAAAGTTCTGTTTCTCCTCTTTGCAATTAGATCACCCTATTTTGCTAAAAAATTAATCATTCATGTTTACATGGAATGGTACCAATTTATCATTGTTAAGTAGACAAATTAAGTTGAGGATGTGTACTATAGTAGTATGATTTAGTGAAAAGTATATACAAAAATATATGTCATATATTCACTAAGTTGAGGTATCCCTTCCTCGCAACTCTGGCCAAGTTTTTTTGTTTTGTTGCCTTCTCATAGTAAAAAGTGTCTATCAGAAATAATTTTTTTATCTGTACAAAATAAGAGTAAGGTTTGCGTAAACACTATTGTCTCCAAACTTCACTTGTTGGATTATACTAGATACGTTGTTGTTTGATGAAGTAGTAAAGAGTATAACAATCCAATTGGAAAATTGTGATCATGAAAGTATTAAATATAGCACAACAACGTAATCACTCTCTCAGTTTCATTCTATATGATTTTATTTTCTTATAATTCTGTTTCAAATAGAATCCACGTTCCCATGCTTAGAAACCATTTACCATTCAATTTCTATTTCATTTTTAATGCCATGCTTTTATAACAACATAAAATTTTTGTTTCTTTCTTAAACTCGTGATCAGTCAAACACTGCCACATATGGGAGAGGTAGTGCTACAACTACGGGTTCGATCGAACCCAGTAATTTTTGTTTAAACTTTATATTTGTATTGAAAAAATCATTAAATATGTAAAAATATTTAATTGCGAACCCAATAATTAAAACGAGCTAGGATTCGGTGACAAGATCAAAACCTGTAACATTAAAATTCTGGCTCCGCCTTTGCCCGAATTAGTTAGAACATGAGTTTTAAACCACTTGACTGTAGCTGACCAATTCTCAAGCTGGTTACTTTTTTGTTCCTATAAATTCAAACTTGCTCATTCACTTCTCTTTCATTCAGTGCCTCTTCCTTTATTACCTAGTCTTTACCTCCACACTTAAAACTTAGTTGAGCAAATCCTTTTATTTTTTCCCTATTATTGTTCAGTCAGCCAAGGTCGTTTAACATTTAATACTTCGTAAAATCTTTATCGTCATTCTAAACGTACGGATTCATAAAAACCCAGAAAAATTCACACGAGCGAATCCCCTGTTCTTCCTCTGTTTTCTTCTTCTGTTATAGTAATTGTTGAAAACAACATGGCCTCAGCTTCCATTCTATGTCAAGGGATGCAATCTTGCATGGAAGCACAACTACCTGAAAAGCATGTCCTAATAAACAAACTTTCTCCTCCAACGTTAATCTTTTCCCAGTCTAAGTTTAATATGTTTTCCCAAGAAGCAGAAGCAAAAAGAGGAGTAGAACCGAATGAAGAGATTTGTGTTCGTTCCAATGACTTGCAAAACCAGCATGGCAATGATAACAAGGGTGGATGGAGTTTCTTAGAGGCTTTGGATAGTGCAAAAAAAGATAATGCAGAAAATGAAGTCTATATTCACCCTTTAATGAAACGCTCTTCTTCCAGTACCCTTAGCCCCAAAAGCTTGGAGATGTGCACAGAGAACTTAGGAAGCGAAACGGGTAGTGACATTAGCGAAAGTATCGAGGAAAACTCTTGTTTCCTGTCAGAAAGAGAGAACTCTCATGATGTTGGACGATCAAAACGTCGAGAAATTATTAAAAAACATTACCGGATATCTAGTTTTCCTCCTCCTCTAACTTCACTAAATGTTGTTCAAGTCAGGTCTCAACGCGAAGGCGGTCGCTTAATTTTGAAAGCCACAACATGCAAATCTTGCTTCCAAACAGAACGTGCTGATGGCAGACTTAGACTTTCTTTGTTGAATGATGGTATTAACACTCATATTCCTGATAGTTATGAGCAAGCTGAAACTCAAACTGAAGCGCAAGTCAATGAACATGAAAATGTAGGAAGTGAAAAAGGGGTAGGAGAGTACGTAAGACCAAGAAAATGCAAGGAAAGTGGGAGTAGGATCAAAGGGATTCCAAGCTGGGAGCCATTTTGGGTTGCCATTTCCTAAATCCTACTAATAAGCTTTGTCTTCCCCATTATTGTTGCTACTAGTCTATTTAAGCTTTTTATTTTGTTTTCCTGTCGTGATTTTCTTATGGTTGTCCGTATGGCAGTTTAATTTGGACCATCTCGAACGCCAATCAAGGTTATTTGATACTAGTATATTGTCCGATCCGTTTGTGGTTGCGCAACTTAATATGCATTAACTTTGGCCCGAATGTCCAAGCTGTTTAGGTATTAGTAAGATTTAACTTTTTATATAGTGATCGTGCAAAGAATATTACATTAGAGTAGGTAACCTATCTCATATTCCAAGTCATTAGACGCCGTGTCACAATTTGAAAAAATGTGCAAATGAATAAATCACTATAACAAGAAGTGGTATCATTTTCTATATATATCCTCAATATTTTCATTTTTCTTATTAGTGAAAAAGTTCGATCAAGGTGCATGTCCCTGCCATTTATACTGTTGATAAGTGGTCCTTGTAATTTTCAGTTAAGCAACTTGATAGTATAAAAATTACTATAAATGTATAAAAGTTGAACTTTAGCTGCAAGTACAGCTCGACACATGACTTTTAGGACGATAACAATATCACATGATACTAAGTACTCAAATTCCATTCGTCATGATAACATGCATGGGAATGTGAATGGGCCTTTATAAAATCATGTTATTTGAAAGTTAGTTACATGTAACTTTATATAGCATAAAAACATGGTGAATGATTAGTTACAGCAGACAAAATTACATTGATAGAGCAAAATTTCTTCACACTATCCATATATAAAAGTTACACTCCATTTACTTGGACGGTTGGACCAACTTGGCCTCCATATGTAGCAGAGGTATTAAAATTAAAGAAATAAATATTTGAAGAAGACAATGGGATTCAACTCATAGTATATATACATGACAAAATATTTTTTACCCATAATTTTTTGACGAAGGAATGTCGATTGAAGCTAGGTGGTTATATATGTCTATCTTCCGACGAAGGGGTGTCTAACTTTTACTCAGATAAGCATATGTTTACGTCTTCGAGGAAGACAGAAAATTGCAAACAATCAATACAATCTGCTGACCTTCGCAAATTTTATCAGACCAAATAGAGTATCAAAATGAATATTTTATACTTTGAGGTTTCTTTATGACAATAAAGGAAAGCTCTTAATGGAATTGGTTAATGAGAAAGGGGAAATGCCTAACTGGTGATTTCACTTAACCATTTGCCAAACTATCAAAATCTTGTAAGTATTTCAGCATTTATGCCTAATTTTCTACTTTCAAGCATATTGTTGATTTTGTTCCTTGTTCAAAATTAGACATGGTTTCAGCATATATATAATGGGTTAACCTCTCCTGAACAAAAATCTTAGTAAGAAGTGAGGAATTATTTAAAGATTAAGTTCGTTGCACTAGGCATTCCCATCATCTTCCTTTCGAAATCACATTCTTTTTCACAAAGTTAAGATTTGTACTAATTGATAGGATTATGACATTTGTATCAAATATATACCATGAATCCATTGTTACACTGCATCTTCTTTCTCAACTTTGGTTTTTCTTGTGTTAGGAGCAATGCATCTAAAACCAATTGGAATATATGACTTGAATTGTGACTGTCATTAGTCACTTCCTTTCATTGATATACTTATTCTAGTTAAGCATTCTGCTTTGGATGTCCCCTGAGATTTTTGATTTTCAGCGTCACTTCAGTTTAGGTCGAGAGAAACAAGATCAGCACACAATTTATCAAGAGAAATTTGTTGTTAATTGGGCATGCAAATAGGACCCTCTAATCATTGTTGTGGGACTGATTGTCTCACCGGTCCCCTCGCTTGGTGGTAGCAGTGTCGTAGCCAGAAATTTCATTTAGGGTGTTCAAACTTAAAATAAGTAAAAAAAAATTCTAATAAAGGGTGTTCAATATGTGTTATATACCATTAAAATCAAATATTTTACTCATATATGCAGTATAATTTTTCGATAAAGGGTGGTCAGTTGACCAGCCTTAGGGTCATGTACCTTCGCCCTTGGGTGGTAGTGTCATCCGACATCGTTTCACAAAAAAATTCAAATAATTACATCAACAAATATTAGTACTATATTCTAATCCAAATAAGTTGGGGTCGGCTATGTTAATTCTCTCTAACCAACTTTGTCCATTTAATATTTTTCTATAAAACCTTGTGTATATAAAGTAAGATACGAAGTAAAACCTTGGAATCCCTTGGACCCAAACTCGTGTACAAACCAAATTATAACAAATAGTTTTAAGATATTTAAGCAATATTCGGTATTATCATCTAACAATTACATTTGAAGATATTTAAGCAATATCAATCATGGAGGACACCAAAGAATTATCATGCGCAAATTATGTCGAGGTCGTACGGCCCAGTCCAATATATTAAAATATGCACTGCTGGGGGGTCGAACGGCGCGAACCATAAATGCATCTATTTACTACCGAGACGCTCGGCCTGATCCACAAATAATAATTATTTTTAAGAAAATACAAATTTCTCATTTATAATCAAGTATCTCATACAAATCTTCAAGTAAGTGGATATAACCTTCTGTAATTCTTTTATCAATTTATAACATGACTTAAGTGATTATATTAGCAAGTAAGGACGCAAACATTTTCAAATATGGCATGATATGGGTCCTAAACTACTCGGGCAATAGCATAATAGTAGCTATGTACGGACTCCGTCACCTCGTACGTACGTAGCCCCCACAAATAGGTACAAACATTCATTTAATTCACCTATGGGGTTAATTCCCTCTTACAAGGTTAGAAATGAGACTTACCTCGTCTCAAAGCCTACTTCCCAATTCAAGAATGCGCTCAAACCTCCTAATTCGATGCCAAACGACTCGAAACTAATCAAACATTACATAAACTAATCAATTTATTCTCATAAGTTCATATTTTCACTATTAAAGTGATTATCCAACCCAAATTACAAGATTCCTAAAATTCACCTCCAGACCCACATGCTCGATTCCGAAATTTTTTAAAGAAAGTCGTTACCCATAACTTTAGGAACATAAATATATGATTTTTACTAAATTCCATGACAAATTCCGTGGTTAAATCGCATTTTTATTTAAAAATTAGGTTTTTACCCAAACTCATGATTTTTACTAATTTACATGTTATAATCTACCCATAAACTATGTACTTAACTCACATTGTGTAGAAATTACCTACCTCAAAGTGCTAAGTGAAATCCCCTATCTAAGAGCTCCAAGAATCACCCAATAATGGAAGAAATGAACTAAAATAGCCTACGTCCTGTTTTTTAAAAAGTTTCTGCCTAGGTCTGCCTTCTTCGCAATCGCGGAAGAGGCCTCGCGATCACGAAGGCAAACGGCCCAGGCCCAGGAAATTTACCCATCGCGAACGCGAAGAATGAACATCGGCCACCCGACATGAACGCTGGCCAGGTCACGCGAACGTGAAGGCTAGAGGACTCAGACCTCCGCGAACGCGATCCTGCGCACGCGAACGCGAAGGGAAAAATCTCCCCATCCCACAGTACCCCAAATCCTTCATCGCGAACGTGGGCGTCTGACCGCGTTCGCGAAGAAGGAAACCAGAAGTAGAAATCTGCTGTGTTTCAACTCAACTCCGGGCGGTCTGAAACGCCCCCCGGGACCCCGTCCAACTACTCCAACAAGTCTATAAACATAATACGGACTTGTTCGAACTCTCAAAATGCGTAAAACAACAGTTAAACCAAGAATCACACTCCAAAACCAAATTGAATCAAACTTTGAACTTCAAGTTTCTAAATCACTCCGAACGCGTCGAATCATACTTAGACTACTCAGATTGCCACCAAATTTTTCGCGCAAGTTTTAAATGATATTACGGAACTATTCCCCATCTCGAAATTTCATTTGGACCTCGATATCACCAAAACCTACTCCAAACCAAATTTAAAGAACTTCAAAAACCTTCAAGAACCAACTTTCACTATTAGGCACCGAAACGCTCCTGGGTCACCCAAAACCCGATCCGAACATACGCCCAAGTCCGAAATCATCATACGAACCTATTGGAACCGTCAAATCCCGATTCCGAGGTCGTTTACTCAAAATGTTGACCGAAGTCAAACTTGGCTTTTTAAGCCAATCTTAAGGAACTAAGTATTCTTATTTCAACCCAAACTTTCCCAAATCACGATCCAACCATCCCGCAAATTATAAATCAGTAAAAGCAAGTACGAAAAATCTCATTTAGGGGGACGGGGTTCTAAAATCAAGTGGCAGGGCAGTGGTATCCATCCTAAACAGGGACCGGTAAAAATCAAGTGGTCCATCTAACTTTACCATCTACGTCTTTTTTTCCCCACATTCTGTAAAAGCTAACAAGGAATTTGTCCGTTTTCCCCACCTACATTGATCTATGAGCCTTTACTTCAAATTATCAGAAAGTCTTTCTCCTGAAATGAGAAAGAGAGCAAAATGTGAACTTAGTTTTGCACATGCTATAATATTGTACATGTCAGTTAGCTGTAAAAGTCTTTGGTCTGCTTTTGAATTGTCCTTAAGAGTAACGGCATATAATTACCAAGGATTTTCACATGCAGTTACCCTTTCAGATGGCAATTGTTACCAGTTTACCAAGGATTTTCCCAAATATTCACATCGTAGTAACCTGAATTTGTCTCAAGATTTTTGACCATTTAAAAAAATAAGAAGTTATTTATTCGTAGTACTTTTTTTCTTTCTTCAGATTTTCCTTTCCTATTCCGGCTTATTAATCAAGTGAGATGTTTAAGGAGAGATAAAAGATAATTTAGATAAATACTCTTTATAACATTCTAGGCAAATTTCACAAGGGCAAGATCATATAAAAGATGTTAGAAATTTAAGAAAACAAGTCTAAGAACCTAGTGACTTGTTTTANATATATATATGGGCTTTGAGATAATGTGAGCGAAAATGCTGAGTCCTGAGGTGGTGGAAGCAACGTCCTAGGCAAAT